GGCGTCGGTGGGCCTCTGTTTGCTGAACAGGGGCTCCACCAACACGTGCGTGCGACAGCAGGGGGGGTCGATAGTGGACCTTTCGTTCGCTACCCCTGCAGTCGCCGCACGAGTAAGGAACTGGTGTGTCCTGGAAGAGGTCGAGACGCTCTCGGATCATTTGTACATCCGATTCGAGCTCTCCCGGTCCCAGGACCCCAGTAGGGGTCACGCGGCGCGGCGCCCTTCCCGCTTCCCGCGGTGGGCTATCGCCAAGCTCGACAGGGACCTACTAGAGGAGGCGGCCATTATTTACTCTTGGCTGTCTCCGCAGGCCCCGACCGAGGAGGTCGACATGGGGGCTGGTCGCTTCTGCAATGCGATTACGCAGATTTGCGATGCGGCCATGCCCCGCGTTCGTGGTTGTCGGCCTCTCAGGAAGGAGGTCTACTGGTGGTCCCAGGAGTTGGCGGACCTCCGTGCGGCCTGTGTACGTGCCCGGAGGTCCCTCACCCGTAGTCGGCGACGTCACCGCGGGGTCGGTGAGGAGGTGGACCGGCTTCATGAGGAGTACCGAGAAGCTCGGCAAACTCTGATGCTGGCCATCTGCCGCGCCAAGGATGCGTGTAGAGAGGAGATGCTGGAGAGTCTTGAGCGTGACCCCTGGGGTCGCCCTTATCGTGCGGTGCGTCAAAAGCTCCGCACGTCGGGCCCCCCCCTTACGGAGACTCTCCAGCCCAGCTTCCTGCAGGAAGTGGTCGAGGGCCTATTCCCGCAGAGGGCGGAGCACACACCCCCGTCGATGGCTGCATCAGCCGGAGACGACGGGGGCAGCGAGGCTGATGTTCCGCCCGTCGGGGAATCGGAGTTGGGGGCGGCTGTTCTACGGATTCGATCCAAGAACACCGCTCCCGGGCCGGACGGGGTTCCAGCCCGAGTGATGGCCCGAGCCCTCGACTACATGTCGGACCACCTCAGGGGGGTGTTGGACGCTAGCCTGGCGTCCGGACGCTTCCCTGAGCGCTGGAAATGCGGGAAGCTGGTCCTGCTGCAGAAGCCGGGACGGCCTGCCGAATCGGTCGCGGCCTATAGGCCTATCGTGTTGCTGGACGAGGCGGGCAAACTTTTTGAGAGGGTGCTCTCTGCCCGCATCGTCCGGCACCTTTGCGAGGTCGGCCCCGATCTGTCGGATGCCCAATTCGGTTTCCGAGAGGGGCGTTCGACGATCGATGCTGTGATGCGCCTTAGGGCCGTGACCGAGGAGGCCGTGAGCTGCGGCGGAGTGGTGTTGGCGGTGTCTTTGGACATCGCCAACGCCTTCAATAGTCTGCCATTCAGCTGCATCAGGGAAGCGCTCCGCTATCACGGAGTGCCGGAGTACCTGAGGCGGCTGGTGGCAGACTATCTTGAGGAGCGAACCGTCATGTACGAGGACCGAGATGGCGTCTTGAGACGCAGGGCCATGTCGTGCGGTGTTCCGCAGGGGTCTGTCCTAGGACCGCTCCTGTGGAACATCGGGTACGACTGGGCCCTACGAGGGCGTCTCCCCCCCGGGCTGGGTGTAATCTGCTACGCGGATGACACCTTGCTCACGGCCCGGGGGGCTAACTTCCAGGAGGCGGCACGCCTGGCCGCCACGGGAGTTTCCCTGGTGGTCGGGCGCATTGAGGCGTTGGGTTTGCGGGTGGCCCTGGATAAGACGGAGGCCCTATTATTTCATGGGCCCCGTCGTGGTCCACCCGCCGGCGCCTCAATCGAGGTCGGCTCGGTCCTCGTACCGGTCCGGGCCCAGATGAGGTACCTGGGTCTGGTCCTAGACGGTAGGTGGCTCTTCGACGAGCACTTCCGACAGCTTGGTCCGAAGCTGGTGGACACTGCCTCCGCCCTAGGGCGACTTTTGCCCAATTTGGGTGGGGCCAGTGTTCCCACGAGGCGGCTGTACGCGGGGGTTGTCCGGTCCATGGCGCTTTATGGTGCACCGGTGTGGGTGGCGGCTCTGACCGCCCCGAATAGGGCGCGCCTCTGGCGCCCCCAGAGGATATTGGCGGTCAGAGCCATACGCGGATACCGCACGGTGTCCACCGAGGCGGCTTGCGCCTTGGCCGGAACACCCCCGTGGGATTTGGAGGCGGAAGTGCTCGCCGAAGTCTATCGGCGAGTGGCTGACTTCCGGGCGGAGAGCGGATTTCGCCCTCCGCCCGAAGACGTGCGCGAGTGGCGCGAAGCCGCTCGCCGAGCCACTATGGTGAGATGGTCGTTCCGGCTGGAGACTCCACGCGCTGGCTTCGCCGCCGTGGAGGCTCTCCAGCCGGTCATCGCCGAGTGGGCAGGGCGGCAGCACGGGACCCTTTCTTTCCGGCTGACGCAGGTGCTTTCCGGGCACGGTTGCTTCGGAAAGTACCTGTACTCGGTCGCTAGGAGGGAATCGAGTCCCGCCTGCCACCACTGCGACTGCGGTGAGGATTCGGCCCAGCACACGCTGGCGGTTTGCCCCGCATGGGCGACGCAGCGCCGGGCCCTCACTGCAGTCATCGGAGCAGATCTCTCGCTACCGGCCGTAATTCGCTCCATGGCCGGTAGCGACAGTTGTTTTACCGCGGTCGCAACCTTCTGCGAGGAGGTAATCTCGCAGAAGGAGGCGGCGGAGAAGGCCCGGGAGGACGACCTCCACTCGGACCTGATCCGCCGCCGGCGAACCGGGCGGCGGAGGCGCGCTCACCTGCGCCTCATGCCGCCCTGAGTGTGGCCGCGGGTGGACGGGATGGGTTCTCCCCTCCACCCGCATTAGTTGGCCAGCCGCGAGGGGGCGGCGTCCGCGTGTGCCGGACGCCGCCTAAAGAGAGGGTCCACTGAGACGGAGCCCGCGTCAGGAGCGGGCCGGCGCTGGGAGGGGTCCAGAAGGAGATAGCTACCTGGACCCCTCCTAAACTGGAAGCGCAAAGAGGGCACACCGTGTGGTTTTAGTCGGTTCGAGTCCGACACACCGCCCCGCCGAACGAGAGCCCCGGCGGGGTGACGGTCCGAGGGGATTTCCACACGTAAAAAAAAAAAAAAAAAAAAAAAAAAAAAAAGGGTTTGTTTCAAATTTGCCTTCTTTTTGCAGTGCTGTTATTCTGCATACCCTATCTGCTTCTCCCTTAGTTGACTCATACGACACTGACGGTGACACTCCGTATTCTTAATCAGTCACCACACGGAATTTTCATAGTTTCATAGTACAAATACATAAATAAAAGTGTGGGATTTGACCATCATCATCACTTTATAATTAATCAGGAGGTTTGGGTTAAACTGAATGAGCATTCAGAACTTTGAAATGTTTACATTTCAAGTTTCATGAACGGAAATTAACGTGATGTTTGGGTTTGTTTGCATACATATTTTCACGTCTGTCGTTTCGACTAGTTTACACTGGCCCTGAATACGAGAGGACTAAAAGACTTACACAATGACTAATGCCTCGAGTATTCCTCCTTAAAATAAATGTAGCGCATGTTGTTTTATTGAATTTCCAAGATATATGTATCTGCTTTATATTATGCATTTGTCTAAAGCAACGAAATTATGTTCTGTAAAAATGAATCTATCCACAAACTTGTCAAATTAATCGTTCGAAATTATATGTATTTATAAAACGACAGAAATCAAATAGGTAGCTTACATAGTAAAACGAGTGTGGTTTGAAAGGTTATAAATACGAACAATTTTTGGTGGTTTAGAATGAAACTTAATGGATTATTTTTTATTTAGTTTACTGGATTATTATTACAATCAAGACTACCAGTCCTCTGTGTTTTGGTGATATTAGATTTTTTTGTGTTACACCTATATAAAACAATTCACTTTTTGCCGGGCCATTTCGTGTTTTCCAACTCATTGCAAACAAAAAGTCAGTATTAAATTTCTTATCAAGCATTATGAGTAAAATAGACAAGACACCAATACATATTAGATTGCCTACGTTTTCTTTCCCAAATACCAAAAAATGAAAATACTTGTACGTTAGGTAGTTTAAGGCTTTGCCGATGATTTATAACTATGTCAAGATAATACCAACAAGACAAAAAAAACAATGTCCATACATATTTCATAAATTTTCAAGTGGGTTTGTTTGTTTGTATGTTTGTTATGCTTTCACGCCTAAACCACTAGACGGATTTTAAAAAAAATTGACCAATCTTTACCAATAGAAAGCTACATTATCAGTAAAAAACATAGCCCACTTTTTACTGCGATAAGCAACATACACGCGGGCGGAGCCGGGGGCAAAAGCTAGTAAAATATTAAAAGTAATTTCAGAAAGTTCTGAACATTCTAAAAGTGCTTTTACATTATATATGTATTGTAAACTAAATTAATACATGTAAGTCTCAGTAATATTATGTTGTTTATTTATGCATTTATTGGCCTTAACCATAAAAAAAAACCTGACTTAATCATAGAGCACGTTATGCGGTTTGAATCGTACTTTCTTGTAAATACAATATGTTTAAAAAGATTTACTTCATTTTGACGAATATGAATTTGGTGTAGAAGATATCGTTGTTGCTATTACGTTGTTTCATACCCTTTATTTTCACTGAAATAATTTCGTCCTCTCTGAATTGGATGTACGTGATGTCGTCTGACAAAATATTTACGGACAGATAGACTAACAATTAAGAATTTCTAGGAGTAGACGAGGTTACGAGTCATAGAGGCGATATCATCAATATATTATTATTAGTCTATATTTCGTATATGAGGATAGATGGTATTTTTGCACTCTAATAATACCTATTTAAGTACCTTATAATCATAATTTCATATTAAATTAGCAGTACTGATGCCAAAAAAAAAACTTCGCATGCAATTGTAAAAACAATTATTTTTAATTGTATCAGACTGTACCATATTAAAAATACACAAGCTCTATTCTAAAAAAATATATGCAATATTATAGTACCTATTTAGTTGGTTATATAAACGCTCTTATTTCTTTAAATGTTCTACTTCTAAAATATCATCAAATCTTAACATACCGTAAACAGCTCTCCAAATGATATAACTTTACTGGTACTCTGGAGTTCAGGAGGTAGCAAGCTCTTGCAGGGGACTTTACCATACTCATTAATGATTTCGCATAACTCCTTCATCTCTGAACATACTCTTGCCTGAGCTTCAGCGCCTCGATACTCGGTCATGGATCCGGGAATAGGTCTAGAAAAAAAAGATTTTTATCATTTACTTTGAGGGTTTTCAAGGACTTTTAAAAGAGTTTTTATGTAACGTTAATTAACTGTAAACTCCTTTATAGATTTTAGAAATGTGATGATATCTATTCTCTAATCGAGTTTTGCTTTAGTTTGGATGGAATATGAATCTCACTCAAGAACCAGTTGTTCTCCAGTACTGTTCTCGTTATAAAAAATTAAAGGAAGTAAACTGAAGTAAGTATTACAACAAAGGCAAGTAAGGAAATTGCTATGTCGCGTCGGTTTATAGCAATTTTATTAATAAAATGAGAAAACAAACACAAACTTTCTTGAAACCTGAATACAGATAGAGATACACATAGATGATTATATTAAAGACTACCAATGAATGCATGTAAGCGTTTTAACAAAGACAAAGATCACAGTTAAAACAAAGCGAGAGCAAGTACATAAATTCGCCTTATAAAACAGAGTTTCTTTCCCATTGCGATGATTTTGAAACACGGACATGATAAAATTACGTAAAAGATGTCGGACGTGCGGTGGATAGGGTATTAAAATAAACAAGGCAGTGAATTTATACAATGAATGGCACTGTTTATAATTTATATTAAAATTTCTATTAAAATAATAATAATTTCACACATCTCACACACGGCCGTCTGATTTCAAGCTAGGCAGAGCCTGTAATATGGTAACTAGACTGCTGATAAACATACTTATATATGTTTTTAAATACATACATATTATAGATAAATTACACCCAGACACAGAACAAATGACCGTGCTCATCACTCAATATTTGTTAACGACCTCCGGCTTAGCAGCCAGGGTCACTAACCACTAGAGTCTAGACTAGACTAGACTAGAGTCATTTGTGTGGCGGGCCTGTTGGTCTAGTGACTAGACCAACAGGCCCGCCAACATAAAATATATGTAGACATTTGCAATTTTTAATCTATTTTGAAATTTTGATGAAATAATTTTACCGTAAATCTAAGATCATTTGAACCGACGTTCCTAATAATAGCTGTTCTGATAATACAGATCATGACGATCGATCGCAGAGTACAGGATTCTATTTCTAAGTGCCACCTACAAATGGTAGCTAAGACCCTCATTAGAGGAGTGTTGGTCCGCGATAAGTGTAGGACCTACTCTGATCCACCTCCAAAGGTCATTAAAGTCCTCTTTGATGTGTAATATGTTTAATGGGAAGTCATCAGTATCTGCTTTTTGAATTACAGGTAAATGAGAATGAATAAATTCATTCTCATTCATTGAATGAATCCAAATAAATACCTTTTCATTAACAACCGCATTAGAATTAACCTTTTGACAATATAATCCTCGTAATTTTGTTATATGGTGTAATAGGTTGACTTTAAATGAAGTGGTTATTACATTATTTTTTCAATGATATTTTCAAACTGATATTTGTGTCGTTTTGGACATAAATACAACCTCCTAATTACTGTATAATATTATTATTAATTATTTATTATTATTTTCAATAAAAAATGTTTTCAATTCAATGCAGGATAAAACCTAGATAGGTCACATAAAACAAATTCCATTAAAGATCACTTAGATCTATACTGAGTATATATATAGCATATCTATACTGAGTATATTGATCTATCCTTGTTATACTCGCAAGAGTATTTGTTTTTCTTCATCAGAGTAACGACTAAAACACTTTGTTACAAAAAATCGACTCCAAAGCAAAAGTAAGGTAGTGAGAAAAGACAGTTTGAGCTAGGTCTTTACCAAGTGATGTCATTCTTTTTCAAAATTTGAATAAGTTATACTAAGAAAAAATAAAAAGTGCTAAAGCAAAACAAAAGTTAATTAGTATTTAATATTAAAATAGCAGTTTCAACTGACACGAAATTGGCAAAACTGTTGAAAAAAATGGCAATCAATTCAATTAATTAATATTTTTCTTTTAGTTTCTAAACAACAATTTTGTCATTCATTGAACAGAGTAATAAGATTTTTATTCATTTTTATTAATTTTCAAATATCACACACGTTTCACATAAATATTGTCTATATTTTCTTGAAATTAAAATCAACCTTATGGATTAACGCTGTATGAAGGGGACAAAGGTATATTATAGAGAAATGGCTTTATGAAGACGCAAGGAAAGAGCCGGTCATTTTTTAAATTAGTTCAGTTTGGAAGGCTGCTTCAATATAATAGACCTCATTATCCTCAGAGCCTTTTCCCAAACTAGGTTTGGGTAGGCTTTCAGTATACTATGTCACAGCTGAACATCGATTCTTACGTGAAGCGACTATAATCAGATCTAACTTAGGTACTAGGCGATGTCTCAGTTCTGTAGATAGACTGTTATTGGACGTTTTAGGACTTCGAACTACCCGTAACGATTGCCGCGAATGTTCGTAAGGCAATCGGCAAACCTTCAATATTATAGATCTTTTTTTGGGAAATTCAGAGAACACGTTAGAAGAAAAAAAAGCACACACATCTACATAATTTTTCAAATTTTGATTATAAGTTTTTACCAAATTACAGACGTTAAGCTGAGGTCAAAATATACTTTAATTAAAATGCTACAAATAAGTACGATCGCCTTAAGTAATGTCGGGTTGCGAGCGAGCAGTTGTGGCTTCAAACGTAATCTAATTACACTGCCGGCATAAACCCACTTCAAACACAAATATTTAACTCAGTTAAGGGGGTTAACATGACTATTAATAATGTGCGAACTACATCAGTGATCGTTTTTAGAATATATCAAAACCACTTTTACTCCAAAACACACTCACCCTAACTTTACTAAAGCCGTGATTTATATGCAAGTGATATACGGTCATGTAAGTGCCATTGAAATATGTAGTTGTACCTTTTTTTTTTTTTTTTTTTTTTTTTTTTTTTTTTTTTTTTCCGTGCGGAAATCCCCTCGGATACCACCTGTCGGTGGCATGTCGGACTCGAACCGACTAAAACCGCACGCCTTCGCCGGGTACTAATAGCCGGGGAACCAGGTATACCCTAGAAAGGAAGGCCCTGGTGCCCCGACATACCTCGGGTCATCTACAGACGAGTAGACGCACCCCGCCCCGTGTGGGAACCCCATGTTCCCTGTGCTCCCTGGAAGCGAGCGCGCTTCGCAACGCGCTCGCCGCCACCCCGGCCTGCTTCTGCTAGGGTGACAGATGGCCTCACCTGTCACCCTAGCAGAAGCAGGCCGGGGTGGCGGCGAGCGCGTTGCTTAGAAGCTACCGGAAAGCTCGTAGAAAATTAAACACTATTAAAAAACATAACGTAACAGGAGATTTGTACAACATTGCTCTCATTGCTCTTAGAGTTGCCAGGTCCCACTACAGAGCTGCTGTGGAAAAATCCAAGGGAAACTTAATTCAGAAACTTGTTAATAAACTCGATAGAGAGGGCCCGTGGTCACCTTTGTATCACGAATTTAAGGCAAATAGATCAATCGACCACGCATACATACAGAACATCAAAATTAATAACAGATATACCACAGGAGTAGAACAAACAGCAGAATATCTTTTAGACTCACTCGTACCTGACGATCGACCGGAAAACGACACTGATCATCACCGACAGATCAGGCAGTGGGCCATCGAACCACCACTGTCTCCAATGTCTGATTTACCATCTTCAGACGAATTTCTCGGTATCATTAGATCCTTGCCGCTAAACAAGGCTTCGGGTGATGATAAAATATCTAACAAAATGATAAAAGAAGCTTGTAAACTTTCGGGTGACACGATTTTCACTGTCTTTAAACGTTGCATTGCTGAAGGAATATTTCCTCGTATATGGCGGTGCGGTAATATTCGTATAATACCAAAAAGTGGCGACAAGCCACCGGATGATCCTAAATCCTACCGACCAATCACATTGTTACCATCGTTAGGAAAGCTTTTAGAACGTCTTGTAGTGCCCCGGCTTCTGCCAGGTGGAGTCAAATTTCATGATAGACAATTTGGATTTACGTTGGGTAAATCGACAACTGACGCTGTTATATCGGTTAGAAAGTTTGTCACAGAGTCAAAATTTCAATACGTGCTGGCTATTTTCTTAGATATATCTGGCGCCTTCGACAACGCATGGTGGCCCATGCTGTTGCTGAAATTAAAATCACGGGGGTGTTTTAAAAATATTTATTCCCTTATCTCTTCGTACTTTTCACAAGGTACAACTAAACTAAGACTTGGTCATCATTCTGTGTCGAAGGCGCTTACAATGGGATGTCCTCAGGGATCGGTGCTAGGTCCATACTTGTGGAATATCGGCTTCGACGATTTTCTTACGATACCAATACCATCCGGATGTACTCTGAACGCGTATGCTGATGACGGCTTATTACTGGTGGAATCTGATACTAGGGCGGGGCTTGAGAGATTAGCCAATAGATGTTTGAACTTGATATCTCAATGGGGTGAACGTAATCGCTTAACTTTTGCACCCAACAAAACCTTCCAGTTACTTTTAAAAGGTAACCTCAAATCACCGCCGAGCATTAGATTTGACAATGTTACTGTAAAAAATAAAACCACAGTGTGTTATCTAGGATTAGTTTTAGAAAGAAACTTTTCATTTATCGAACATATTAAAATAGTTAATGAAAAGTCTAAAAAGAGTTTCTGTGCATTGACAAGGATATCAACTGCGACATGGGGTCTATCATTTAATACATTAAAGATCATATACGGAGCTACTTATTTAGGTTCTATGTGCTATGGTGCACCTGTATGGGCCGATAGGGCGACCGTAGGCGCTGTCCGTCGCAAACTGTTACAAGGCCAACGACTGGCACTGATATTTTTGTGCAAGGCATATAGGACGGTTAGCACTGAGGCTTTGCCGGTGTTGGCAGGTGTCCTTCCGGTCGATCTCGAGGTGCAGAGACGTGCAGCCATGTACTATTCAAGACAAAACATGGAATGCGATTTCTTGGGCGCGCGGGATCGCGGTAAAATTACAAGATTGCTTCAACAGCAGTC